CCTTGGGATTCCCCCAGAGGAGCTGGTCCACGTGTCTGGAGAGAGGGAAGTCTGGGTCTCTGCTGAGGCTGCTGCCACCGAGACCTGACCCCGGATAAGAGGAAGAAAATGGACGGACAGATGGGCAACAGTTGGAACTTCAGACATGTACATAATCTTCTATTTTGTCATCTACAGTCAGGGTCGTGCATGAAGGCACTCAACTGAGTGTATTTAAGGCATTCAGTTTGATTACCTGTCTGAATGGCTTCTGTGATGAGACGCAGCTGCRGTGGATTCCTCCCTGATGAGCTCTGTGTGTATAAGAGGCAGCAGTTGTGATCTGGTCTTCGCTGGAGCATCACGTATCACTCGGTACTGATCCTGGCCTCTCAGTAAGGTTTTCTTCCTGAGTGTTATTCATCTGTGAATTCTCTGTGTTCTCAGAACTGACCCGATACTTACCTGAAAGAACCCATGCCGCATTCCTGAAGAATCTGTTCAGAGCTCACTCACCTGTTTCCATGCCTGCCCATCTACATCTCATTCAGCGTGAGAAACGCATATCGTTTGCCAGTCTAAGACTTTCCTGTGACTCGACTGCTGTCAACCTGAAACGCYTCACCCTCTCCTCCATGCTAAGCCACCTCCTGGAACTCTATAAGAACAAAACTCATCTGCAAGTTCTGGAGATTAAWATTATCCTCATCAGTTACTTACCTGTGAACCTTGCTTTCCAGATCCAGATCCCTGATCTCTCCAYTGTAAATAAATTTCACTTATCTTTTGTTAATCGCCTCCTGCRTCTGTTTCCTGGTTCTCTGCTCACCTTTGACACACTACCTGAAAACATGTTAGTATCATTATGTTTTTGTCTGTGAACTTTAAACAGAATAATACTGTTGAAACCAAAGACGCTGGGAAGACTGAGCATTATCTCCAAGTTCTTGCCTGATCTCAGTATGACCCCATGCATGTTTCCTGCTTCACCCAATCTGCTTGCTCCTTTTCTGTTTCTGTTTGCCTCCCTGACTTCTGGACTCTGACCTTGTTTCTGCCCACTGGACCTYGCACTCAGGATCTCTCTCTGGATTTGTCTTAGGCAGTCTACTCTCCTGTGCATGATCCCGCTTTCCCCCTSGAACCACGAGTGTGCTGGGTCATTGTCGGGTCATTGTCSATTTGGAAAACCYATTTGCACTCAAACTGTAACTTCCTGGYTGATGTCTTAAGATGTTGCTTCAGTATTTCCACATAATGTCATTTTCTAGGATGCCATCTATTTTGTGAAGTGCACTAGCCCCTCCTGCAGCAAAACAGCAACACAACATAAGGCCGCCAACCTTGTGTTTCACAGTTGGGATGGTGTTCTCGGGCTTGCAAGCTTCCACCTTTTTCCTCCAAACATAACAAAGGTCATTATGGCCATTACAGGTAGTTAAAGGTAAACTCAGCCTCATAAGCAGTGCCTGAAACACCTCAGAATGAAGAAGTCTCTTGGAGAAGAGATCAAATGTCTTTTCAAAAAAGAAGAACCAGAGGACCTTCATTTAGGTCCATATATATTTGGACACTGACACAATTTTTGTCTTTTTACCTATTTACTGAAACATATTCAAGTTATAATTCTATAATAAACATGGACATAAAGTCCAGACATTCAGCTTTCATTTGAGGCTCTCCACATTAAAACTGGATGAAGGCTTCAGGAGTTTCAGCTCCTTAACATGTGCCTCCCTGTTTTTAAAGGGACCAAAAGGAATTGAACCATTGACTCCAAGGTTATTTCATGGACAGGTGTGGGCAATCCCTTCATTATGTCATTCTCAATTAAGCAAAAGGTCTGGAGTTGATTTGAGGTGTGATGCTTGCATTTCGAAGGTTTTGCTGTGAAGTAAACAAGGAGCTCTCCATGCAGGTGAAACAAGACATCCTTAAGCTGCAAAAAAAGAAAAACCATCTGAGAAATTGTTACAATATTAGGAGTGGTAAAACCTACAGTTTGATCCATCCTGAGAAAGAAAGAAAGCACTGGTGAACTGATCACTGGGTGTCCACAGAAGACCACAGTGGTGGATGACGGCAGAATAATCTCCATGGTGAACAGAAAGCCCTTCACAACAGC